TGGATGGACTCACAGTGAGGGACATCAGGTTACACAAACTTGACTCTATGGGCCTTAACATATATGACAGAAAGCATGAAATTCAGTGGGCAGGCTATGGGGATAAGGGACGGTGGACTAATATGATTAAGATGTATTGTATGAAATGCACAAACATTCAATAAAATATATATTGAAATGAATAAATAAATCTTTTTTAAAAAAGCAAGAAACAACCACAACAAAAAAGCGAGGGGGATGGCTCCTGAGGATTGACCTGAGTTTGACCATCTAAACTTGACATGTGCATACACATACAACTGCACACACACAAGTAAGTAGGTACACACACACACACACACACACACACACACACACACACACAGTTAAATAAAATGAAAATCCATTCCTCAGTTGTATAAAACACATGTTAAGTATTTGGTGGCTCCCTGTGATGACTGATGACATCCTGGATAGTACAGGTCTGCTTTCAACTCTACCCCGGGTAGCTCTGCACCACCATCAGCCTTTCACTTTTTATTGCAGACCCCGCACCTGTTTGCCTTTTTATCACACAGAAGCAGATTTGTTGCTTTCCAGAAAGTGGGAACACAGCTTTCTAAGGAAGCAATCTATTTCTCAAGCTGCTGGTGCTTCACTGTCATTATGCAAAGTGTGTTTGTGTGTAGAGGTACTTTTAAAGTTGAATCATAATGAGAAGACTTTGAAATATTTAGGAAAAAGACAAAACCAATCAACAGGCTGGCACCATGGCAGGGCCAGGCCCAGAAGGTAGAAACTCTCTGCAAGTCTGGGCCACTTACAGCCCTTCAGCCTCAGCTGAAGCAGTTGCCTCAGTTTCTTCTTTCGTGATGGAATCCCTGCTCTACCTGCCTCATAGGGTTAGGTGACTGTTTATTTGTTTGTCTGTTTATAGAAAGGGTTTCCTGTAGCCCAGGCTAACCTTAAACTTCCTATGACTGCTGTTTCTACCTCTGGAGTGCTGGGATTACTGACACATGTTCTACACACAGTGTGTGTAGTTCTAGGAACCCAGGGCTTCCTGCATGCTAGGCAGGCCCTCTTCCCCAGCTGTGTCCCCAGCCCAGGACTGGGTGAGATTCAGAAGCAGGGGATGTAGATTAGAAAGGTGAGGCCTCAGTTCATAAAGCTGTGAGTCACCAAAGGCCTGAAGAGGCACTGCTTTGACAATGTCGCCATCCTGGCTGGAGGCCTCCTCAGACCCCAAGGCAATGTGTTTCAGTTGGGGAGGAAGTCACCAGCAGCCAGGAAAGTGTATTTTCCCACTGCTGTATTTTCCCACTGCTCGGCAATCTAGAAACAATAACAACAATATTTTTTATTTATTTAGTCAGCGCTTTGCCACACTTGCTGTTTGCCAGGTACTATTCTAAGTGCTTTACAAATATTTGCTCATTAAATCTTCCTATGCCCTGAGGTGGTCACTGTTGGGGCGCTCATTTCATAGGGAGGAAAATCAAGCCTCGGAGATGAAGTCCCTTGCTTAAGGTCACATAGCCAGTAAGGACGGCTGTCTGTGCAGTCTGCATTTCCTCTGGACACCCCTTTCCCTTTTTCTTTTCCCCAAGTTGTCATCACATAAGGCTCTGGGTAGTTTCCTTATCTCGGGGGAATGAGATTTAGATTTTTATAGGAAATCTTGTGACAGACATTTCTAACTCAGTAGCTTTGATTCTGGGCTCTGGCTGAGTTTGTTAGTATGGCAAAATCAGCGGTAGAGTAACCTTGATAACAGTCAGTGATTGGCCGCTTGCTGTGTGCCCTAGGGTGGATTACTTAACTTCTCTGGCTTCACATGGCATTTTGTGAGGGCTGGGTAAGTCACCTGTGGGGGCAGTGCTTGGCATTGTATCAGGAGGACAGCCCATGCCTTACTCCTGTTCATCTTTATCTTTGCTATTTTTAATTCATTAATTTAGTTTATGTGTGAGTGTATTGCCCACATGTATTTAAGCATACTGTGTGTGTGCAATGCCCTTGTAGGCCAGAAGAGGATGTCGGATCCCCTGAAATTGGAGTCATGGACAGTTGTTAGCTGTATGGGGAACTGAACCCAGGTCCTCGGCAAGAGCAACCAGTGCTTTTAATTGCTGAGCCATCATACCAGCCTCTCACCTTTATCTTCGTCTTAATTAGTAAGCTTAGGCTTATGGGTTCAGTGGTGAATGAACCTCATGCCTGCCTTCAAGGACGCCACAGAATGACCTTCATGGGGCTAAGAACTTCTGAGGTCAGAAGGCACTAGGAATTGAAAGTTCTAGGCATCCCAGGCTTGCTCCCACCTCAGAGAACTTGGATAAGTTTGTTGGTTACTTTTTTCCACTTTCGTCAGTTGTAAATGGCTCTGCTCCCAGGCCTTGTCCATCTTGTCATTTCTGACTTGTCATATTTGAGTCAGGACAAGTCTGTGCCTGAAGGGCAGCAGCTGTGCAGGTGGATGCAGGGCGTGCCAGCCTTTCTCTAGATCAATCTAACCAGTGCTGCCATAACTTCCTCCCGTGGTGCTCCACATGGTCTCTTGGCTGTGTCACGAGCAGGCAATGTGTGGACCACATACTCTCTTTATCCTCTCGTCGTCTGAAAGAGCCAAAGCTTAGGAGTGAAAAGCAAGTCAGAGGGAATGCCTCACTGTGTGCTTATGACCCTTGACTCGAGGTGTAGGCTCTGTGGTCACTGTCCCTTGGGCAGAAAATTACCCTTAAGAGGGGGCCATGTGACTAGAGCTGCTCCCTGTGGTCTGAGCTGCCTTCAGTGCTTTGCCAGATGCTCAGATGGGAGATCTGGGAGCTGGCTCAGCAGTGAGAGGCAGGAGCCACCCTAGACCATCTTGAGTTTCAGTCTCTTAGAGAAGTGGACATCCGCACCGAAAGATGAAGGCATACCATTGTGTCATATGCAGTTTTCTTCTTCCTGGAGCCGGTGCCATGGAGTGGGAGGCACCATCATCACCTCCAGTTTAGGATCCTCGTAAAGCAAGTTAATATCCTGTAATTACAGTGAATTGTACTTCACAGGCTTTGAAAGCAGGGCAGCAGAATGCATCCTGTCTTAATCTTAACTGAGGGACCTTAGCTGGCAAGCAAACCTCCCAGCCGGCTAACCAGTGTCAGGGTTCTGAGGGATCCACGGCTTTACTATGCCTCCTCCTCATTCACTGGTGTGCATACATCTTTCCAAATTCAGTGGTGCTTGGGAAGATGTTGAGACCCTCTCTCAAGTATGACAGGCCTATTAAAACTTCTGCAACATTTATTGATAAATATTGATAACTGTAGATTCACTTTGAGCATAGAGTTGGGGGGTGCAAAGACTATATAAGAAAATGGCATGTAAATCTGTTTCCTTTAAAGAAAACAGTTACAACATGGGACCTCAGCTGAGTTTACTTGGCCAGAGGTAGTGGTAAGAACATTCCTGGGTGAAACCACTAAATCCTTCAGGAAAAGTGCCTTCAAGTATAACCAGGGGCTGTTTCCTGCAGTCTTATGCTGCTGAGGTCACCATAAGAGACTGAAATGATAGGTCTAAAAGTGCTGAGGAGAATGGGAGGGTGGCCCTGGAGTCTATTAATCTGCTGGGCATGTCAACTGATTTTACTTTATTCCTCCACTGTACCTTAACTTCTGAGACCATTCCACTCACTGTGTCTGAAGTACTGAACTTGGGAGGGGCTGAGTTAAGTCTTGAACTCATGTTCACTGGAAAGTCATTGCCTTCAACAAGAAGCTATAAAGTGTCTTGTGATTTGCTACAAGGAACAATGTGTGTGTGTATGTGTGTGTGTGTGTGTGTGTGTGTGTGTGTGGTGTGCGCACACGGTGTGGTGTGTGATAGCACACAAGGAGGTGGAGGTTAGGAGACAACTTGCGGCGGTTAGTTCTCTCCTACCGCATGGGTCCCAGTGATAACTAGTTTGCTCTGCTTGGCAGCACTGTCTTCACCCACTGAGTCGTCTTGATGGCACTTAAAAAAAATTATGTTCCCAGGCCTGTGTTGAGCTCACTCTGTAGCCCAGATGGGCCTTGAACTTCTGATTCTCCTGCCTCAGCCTTTTGAGTAACTGAGATTATAGGCCTACACCTCCAGATCCTGCTCAAAAACATGATTCTTAAGCCTAACCACACTGGGAAAGTTGGATTTAGTTAAGCAAAGAGCAAAAGGAAGATAATTCTGGTGTTGAAGAGTAGGAATTAGGCGCAAAAGCCTGGAATGGGAAGAAACATGGCATGAACCAGGCCGGAGGCATGACCACGGGACAGGCACACGATCCTGAGCCATCACTGTAAACATTGCCCAGAGCCTGTTGTCTGGAGCATACTGCTCCATAAATACTTCTTGAATGAATAAATACCCAAATAATCAATTGTCTTTTCCACAGAGTTTGAGTCTCCTGTGGGCAAAACTTGGGCCTTAGAAGGTTTGGATGCTCCATGTTTTACAATGCTCAATACATATCAAACACCCAGGAAAATATGTCCTGATGTCATGATGTGCCTGAGAGAGGAGGCACTGATGCCCTGGAAAATACTGAGCACCATGTGACTTTTTACACTCTCTGTGAGCCACCCATAATAGGCCATCTGTCTCTTGACTGGGGGTGTGGCTCAGTGGTGAGCTGGCTTAGCATGCTCCAAACCTTGGCTTTTATCCCCAGCACTAAAAAAAAAAAAAAGTTATTGCTCAAGTACAACACTATGGGGTCCATAGAAACCCAATGATGCTCAAAAAGATGAGAATGCATAGAAACCAGCAGCAAGACAGCTTAGCAATCAAAGTTTTGTAGGACTGGCCACCTGGATGACCACAGGGTTATACCAAAGAGTCTTGAGTACACTTGTGAATGGGAGCTCCGAAGGCGACAGAAGCTCTTGGTCTATCTCTTCACTGATTTTAGAATCCTTTAGTTGGAGAGTCCAGCCAACATCCTTTAGATACATGTGCTCAGCCAGGTTCTCAGTAATGGCTGCCTGTCATTTCAGGTGCTGGCTAAGAGTGTGGTTATAAGAGAGCCCAGAACAGCTCTGGAAGAAGCCCTGGGAGACGCCCTTTCCGTGGGTGACCGGAACCTTCTGGTCCTTAAGACACAGCTCAGACCTCACCTGGACTTATGACCCGTGGCCTTGCTCCCCTCCTGCCCATTGAGTTCCACAAGATGGGCTCCTTCCGCCGGCCCAGACCTCGCTTTATGAGTTCCCCAGTGCTTAGTGAGCTGCCCCGCTTCCAGGCTGCTAGGCAGGCTCTGCAGCTAAGCTCCAACTCTGCCTGGAACAGGTAAGGGCCCATGGGGCTGACACCACCAGGATCAGGGTCTTCGTTATCTGGGGATGGGCTGAGTGTCTGCTACTTCCGGGATCTCTGCTCAGGAAGACTATGATCAAAGTGCAGGTGATGGACAGAACGGGTGTTCTGACATCCAAATCTGCGTAGTGTTTCCGGTGAGAAAGTAGCTCACTGAGAGCCCTGGCCTATCAGAGTCAGTTAATAACTGGGAGCACTGGGGTAGAATTTACAGTTAATTGCTCATAATCCTTAGTCACCCCAAAGAGTGGGTGAATATCTGAGGGTAGGGTCTTAGAAGTGACCTCAAATCACCTGTTCATCTATCTGGGCATGGTGGCTCATGCCTTTAGACCCAGCACCCAAGGAGACAGAGGTGGGTGGGTCTCTGTGAGTTTGAGACCAGCTCCATTTACATAATGAGCTCCAGGCCAGCCGAGGCTGCATAATGAGACCCTGTCTCCTCAAAAACAAAATAAGTGATCTCAAATTACCTACTCATCTGGGAAGATGAGATGTGTTTGTATGTGAAGTTCAGTGGGTGGCTTAAGCCACAGTCTCTGGCCCATAAGCCACAGGTACTCAGGAGAGGACAGTAGGGAGCTTTTGGAGGTGTCCAGTAGAGTCCACAAAATAAGCCTTGAGCAGACTAAATCAGTACTGCCTTACAAGTCTGTGTGCTACTGGTTTTCAAATCTGTGTAGGACTCTGGGTAAGTTAAAGCGTTACTGAATTCTTTGTGGGCTTTTTCAGTGACTGGCCACAAAGTACACTCAGCTGATGTGGCTCAGGAGGGCTGTCTGGAATGTTGTGGTGTTAGGTGAGTCTTTATCTTTTGTAAAAGACCCTTGGCACAGACAAGATTATAATCAGCTCTTCTGCAGATGTTTTGGGCTGGGGTCCCCGAGAATGGGGAGTTGAGCCCTGGGAAGGGAATGACTCTGATAGTACACCTCCCTCTCTGGGGTGGAATTAAGGGAGCAGGGAGGCTAGCCCATGGGAAATTCTATCAGAAAACCAAGCAGTTATCATTTTTATCCCCTACCCACAAGCACCCCGAGATAGTGACTTCCGAGCTGTGAGAATCCACTCAGGGTCAGCTCCTGCTGGCAGTAGATGCATTTTGAACTCTTTCCGGCCCCAGTGGTGCAGCAATCAGGGAATGGATCCCATTGCCTGCTGCAGGTGAGGGAGCAGTGCTCTGTGGCCTGCAAGAGGGCTGGGGCTACATCTGAGTTCTTTTCCCTCACTTCCCTGCCCCTACTTCTGAGACATAGAGAAGGAGATGTGGCTGTGTGCCCTAGGCTTCCTGGCTCTTCCACGACCTTCCCTCTGGACTGCTTATAGAAATGGCCCTGGGGGACAGATTGTCTAACCAGTATGTGTTTCTGTTGCCCTGCAGTGTGCAGACAGCTGTGATCAATGTCTTCAAAGGGGGCGGCTTGCAGAGCAATGAGCTCTATGCACTGAATGAAAACATCAGGTATGTGGCTGCCCAGGACCAGTGCCGTTTCCCCACCAGGAGGCTTAAGGTTTTCCTTTTTGTTGTTCTGTGTGGTTCTTGCTGCTCCTCTGTCTAATGTTAAGTTACTCCTGTGGCTGTTGAACTCTGAACGCTTGTCCATGTAGACTTTTGTTCTGATATGATGAGCCATTTGTTCATGTATGTAATGCATTTCATGCTGGAGGCACAAGTTGATACACACTAGTTGGCATTTATTCGGTAAATGATTTTTTTGTGCTCTGCTTAATCGTTAGGCACCATATTAGGCAATATGACTTAGTGGTTGGAACCGGACTACTTTGGATTTTATTGCTGTTAGTGAAAGACTTAGCAACAAATATTGGGGTACCTCCTTGATGGTCAGATGCTAAAGCAGACAGATGTGGGCTCTGCTGTCCTGGAATTTTTTTTTTTTTTTTTTTGAGACAGGGTCTCATGTAGCCCAGGCTGACCTAGATAGCCAAAGATGACCTTGAACTCCTGATCCTCTTGCCTCTACCTCCTGAATACTGGGATTACAAGTGTGCACTGCCGTGCTTGGTTTGCACTGCTGGGGATAGAACCCAGGACCTCTTACATGCTAGGCAAGTGCTTGGCCAACTGAGCAACATTCCCAGCCCACTCTCCTGGAATGTGTGTTCAGTGGGGAAGATGATTATTTGTCAATAATTACACAAATAAAATGTAAAAGTGTTACAACACAACTCACATATAAAAGCATGTCATATTTGATCTTGCCAAGGAGACCAGAGACAATATTTGCTCTGTGATCTGAGGGTAAATGGGGATTCATTAGGGAGAGAGGACCCTAGGTGGTAGGATCAGCAGGTGCAAAGACCCTGTGGTTGCAACGAGCAAGGAATTGAAAGAAGGCCCAAGTACACAGAGGACTGGAGGTTGAGTAGTGGTACAGTTGGGTTTGTATCTTGGTGAAACCGGAGTAGAGGGCAGGGCCCAGAGCACCGGAGTCTTCTAGGGCCAGGAGGTTGAACTAGCCAGTCTTTTAGTGCCTTGGCATTAATTCCGTTTTGGGTATGTTAAATGCAGAATATCTGGGCTAAAGACCCAGCCCTGCAGGGGGCAGAACAATAAATAAGACCATTGTTTAGGTATTGTTTATATTGAATTAAAGACTGTGTTAAGGTCAGTGGGTGTTTATGAGCTCTGTTTTCATTAAAACTGTAGAGCCCATAAATAAACAGCTGTGTTACATGTCTACCCATGCACTTGAATTTCATGTCACAGTTATATAAATCTGAAAAGAGACAAAGGAGCCCAACACCTCATTTTACAGGGAAGGAAAGCTGGGCCCAAGAAGGTATTTTTCAGGGGCAAAGTTGGGTCACCAGTCATCAAGGTCGCAAGAAAGAGCCCAGTTTATTCCTACCACTGAGAGCAAGAAAGAGCCCAGCTTATTCCTACCACTGAGAGCCTGGCCTTCCCGGAGGTTCTTTGGCCCCCAGTGGAAGTATAAATAAATAATCAGCAGCTCAGGAATGTACTAATTGTTCCTCACTTTGTGAGACAGATCCTGAAATTGTACTTCAAAGCCCTCTGTGGGCAGCTAGGAAGGCAAGCCTGATGTCACCTGCTCTGTAGCTGAGGGAACCAAGAAGCCACCAGGTGCCAAGGGGACTTCTAAACAGTGAAGTAGGCCCTGGTGAGGGCGGAGAAGCTCCTAGTCTTTTCCCAGAGAGGCTCATGCTGCCAGAATATGGGTCCACTGACATTTCATCTTATTTCTCAAGAACTGGAAACTGTTATATGATATTTCCTGATTTATTATTGTTTTGGATTTTTATTTTATTATTTATTTTTATTATTAATTTTATTCTAGGTAGACCAGGCTGACCTGCTTTGCACAGAGGTCTTCCTGCCTCTGGCTCCCAATGCTGGGATTAAAGGCATGGACCAACATGCCTGGCTTATTTTTTTTCAGCTTTACATTTTTTAAGTTCAAAAAATTTTTATTTTATTTTATGTGTATGAGTGTCTTGCCTGCATGTATGTAAGTGTGCCACATGTGTAGAATGATGGCAGAGGCCAGAAAAGGGTATCAGATCCCCTGGTACTGGAGTTACGGACAGTTGGTTGTTAGCACCCATGATGATATTGGGAACTGAACTTGGGTCCTCTGCAAGGGCAACCAGTGCTCTTAACCGTTGAGCCACCTCTCTAGCTCTTTACGTTTTTTTTTTTTTTTTTTAAGTATTATTATGCTGGGTGTGGTGGCGCATGCCTTTAGTCCCAGCAGAGGCAGGCAGATCTCAGTGAGTTCAAGACCAGCCTGGTCTACATCATGAGTTCCAGGACAGCTGGGCTCCAAGGAGATCCTGTCTCAAAAAGACCAAAAAAATATATATATAATAATAATAATAATAAATATTATTTTTAAAAAATTATCCGACTTTTAAATGTCAGTAAAGAATCCAAATTTCTTCACCATTGGTGCAGAACACATAAACACATCTGTGATCTGAGTGCAGCCCACAAGCTACTTGTTACTAAGATTGACCATAGTGTGCATGGGGAGGCATTGCTGTTATGTGGACATATTGAGTCTCAGAGAGTTCTAGGTACCTCATGTGTACCCACACATCCACCTCTTTGTTATGCAGCTTATATTTGAGAAAACTGTGGGTAAATGAAATCACTTAACTTGCCTAAGCTTACACAGCTATAAAAATGGATCAGGATTTGAACTTCTGCCAGACTTACACAGCTGCATTTGTCTGTTTGGGCTGCTGTTACCACAAGACTCTGTGGATTGAATAACAGAAATATTTTTCTGTGTCCTGGAGCCTATAAGCCTAAGGTCAAAGTGTTGCTCAGCTCAGTTCCCAGTGATGGTCACCATTTCACTGTGAGCTCACATGACCTCTTCTTTGTGCATTCAGAAGTGGAGAGTCGGGCCCTCTGATGATTCTTATAAGGACACTACTCCACCTTGAGAATCATACCCTCAAATCTGTCTAAAACTAATCATCTCCCAAAGGCCCTACCTCCAAATACTGTCATATCGGGAGTGAGGGCTTATATGTGGGAATTGGGATGCTGGGGCGTACAGTTCAGCGCCCAGCAACACCCTCACTCTCTGTGACCTGGCTGCTGATCTCTTGACTCTCAGAGGGTTCCACAACACCTGTACCATATTGTGGTGCTTGTGGGAGAAGTTTTGCTCTGAATGGTTGAGCAGATGTGCCCGATTTTTCTGCCTTCATTCCTTTCACTGGGCCTCCGTGAACCCATCCCATACTGTGTGCTGATTCTAGGCCTCATCTGAGGAGCAGCACCTCCTTCAGCCCTTCTTTCTAGTGATAGGGTACCACTAAATATTCCTCTCTGTTTAATAGTGATTTTTCAGCCTGCTTGACCTCCACTTGCCTCTGTGCCTTCTGTCCTGACAGCTCTAGCTGAGGGACTGGAGTGGAAAAAAGGCTTTCCCATTATGGAGGCTCAGAGGACATGTAGGAGTGTGAAGCATGTCCCAGGCAGATGTGTGATCTGGACATTTCAAATTCCATAGAGCAAACCACGCTGCACATGCTCTCACATCTGCAGTGTCTCTGTAGAAACACGGCTGCCCTATGGACCTCAACACTGAAACACACACTGCTCTGGCCATATTCTCATGGACAGTGGGTTTTGAATTTCCTTTTCTTTTCCCAAGACCTGCTTGCAGAACAGGTTTGAGAGATTGAGGGTATTAGGGTGGACAGTACAGGACAGTGGGAGTATTAGAAAGAAGATGTGGAAGAAGGAAAGGTTAAGTTATCCCAAGCTCATTCTTCAGTTAATCATGACAACCCTACTACATGTTCTAGACTCAGTAAAGAGAGCCAGCCGCCTCTGGATTTAGCTTGGTGGAGCCCTTTGAGCTTGGAGAAGTTGCTTAATTTTCCCAAGTCTGTTTTTCCTTTCATAAAATGAGAGTGATAATAATAGCACCAACCCCATGGTGCCTGGAAAACTGCAATCCCTTTTAAGTGCCTTAGTATAAGATCTGGTCCAAAATATATGTTTAATGAATGTTAGGCATTCTTATTGTTGTTATGGTGGGTGCTTGGGAACAACGAGGTGTTGAATGGGCATGCAGGGCCTTGTGCTGAGCTGTCCTGGGGGTAGAATGGCATGAAGACTTCCCCAGTGGGTTGAGTGAGGTGAGCTCACTTTGACCTTGAGAGTAGGATGGGCTCCCCCAAGAGTGCTGAGAACTGAAGTTTGGGTGAGGCTGAATTCTTACAAGGAAAGCTATTTCTTCTTTCTGTGGAGACTGAGAACAAGAGGAAATGACTCTCAGTTCTCCATTCTATTTAGCCAAGCAGTAATAAACTTTTTGATGGATACCCAAGTTCCGGTGTCAAAGCCTGAATCCTCTTCCCTAGGTCACACATCCCAGTCAAGTTTGACTTCCTCTCTTCTCTTCCCTGTCCTCCTCCTGCTCCTCCTCTTCCTCCTCCCCCTTCCTCTTTGTGTGTGCTAGCATGTGGTAGTAGTGGTGGTGTGTCTGTGTGGAGAGTACGTATGTGTTCCTGTGGGTACGTGCGCATACTCAGGGCAGAGGTTGATGCCAGGCATCTTCTTTGGTTGTGCTCTCTGCCATTTTTTTTTTTTTTCTTTTAATAATCTTTTTGAGACAGGGTCTCCCTGTAGCCCCAGCTGGCCTCGAACTCACTATGTAGACCAGGCTGGCCTGGATCTCACAGAGATCTGCTTGCTTCTGTCTCCAGAGTGCTAGGATTAAAGGTATGTGCCACCATGTCCACTTCTACCTTATTTTCTGAGACACTGAACCTGGAGCACATCTATTTGGCTAAATTGACTGGCCAATGAGCTCTAAGATTCACCTGTCTCAACCTTACCTGTTGCTACAGTTAGATTTAGGAGGACAGAAAAAGGAAGGAGTTCAAAGTTAAGAAATAAGAACTAGAGCCAGACCTGCAACAGGCAAGGAATAGTTCTTCTTTAATTCAGGAGAA